GGCAGGACCTGGTCAATGACCTGAAGAGAGCTGGGACCACAGTCTCAAAGAAAACCATTAGTAACACACTACACTGTCATGGATTAAAGTCCTGCAGCGCACGCAAGGTCCCCCCTGCTCAAGCCAGCGCATGTCCAGGCCCGTCTGAAGTTGGCCAATGACCATCTGGATGATCCAGAGGAGGAATGGGAGAAGGTCATGTGGTCTGATGAGCTAAAAATAGAGCTTTTTGGTCTAAACTCCACTCACTGTGTTTGGAGGAAGAAGAAGGATGAGTACAACCCCAAGAACACCATCCCAACCATGAAGCATGGAGGTGGAAACATCATTCTTTGGGGATGCTTTTCTGCAAAGGGGACAGGACGACTGCACCATATTGAGGGAAGGATGGATGGGGCCATGTATCGCGAGATCTTGGCCAACAACCTCCTTCCCTCAGTAAGAGCATTGAAGATGGGTCGTGGCTGGGTCTTCCAGCATGACAACGACCCGAAACACACAACCAGGGCAACTAAGGAGTGGCTCCGTAAGAAGCATCTCAAGTTCCTGGAGAAGCCTAGCCAGTCTCCAGACCTGAACCCAATAGAAAATCTTTGGAGGGAGCTGAAAGTCTGTATTGCCCAGCGACAGCCCCGAAACCTGAAGGATCTGGAGAAGATCTGTATGGAGGAGTGGGCCAAAATCCCTGCTGCAGTGTGTGCAAACCTGGTCAAGACCTACAGGAAACGTATGATCTCTGTAATTGCAAACAAAGGTTTCTGTACCAAATATTAAGTTCTGCTTTTCTGATGTATCAAATACTTGTGGCATGCAATAAAATGCAAATTAATTACTTAAAAATCATACTATGTGATTTTCTTGATTTTTGTTTTAGATTCCGTCTCTCACAGTTGAAGTGTACCTATGATAAAAATTACAGACCTCTACATGCTTTGTAAGTAGGAAAACCTGCAAAATCGGCAGTGTATCAAATACTTGTTCTCCCCACTGTATGTGTCATGTCTTTTGTACGGTATTTCATCAGACAGCTGGTATAGGTAGCCATTTTTGGAACAAAAAGCATAAACTTTAAAAAGCATAAATGACGAGCTTACGACTAAAAATATAAACACACATAGACTGTAGCACTTTCAACACAATATATGAATAGTGCTTTACAAATAATGTTATTATAGTATCATGAAGCATATTTTAAAATTAAGAGTTACCAAAATAAAGGAAACACCAACATAAAGTGTCTTAATAGACCGTTAGGCCACCACGAGCCAGAACAGCATCAATGCACCTTGGCATAAATTCTACAAGTGTCTGGAACTCTATTGGAGGGAGGCGACACCATTCTTCCATGCGAAATTCCATAATTTGGTGTTTTGTTGATGGTGGTGGTAAATGCTGTCTCAGGTGCCGCTCCAGAACACTCCCATAAGTGTTGAATTGGGTTGACATCTGGTGACAGACGGCCATGGCATATGGTGTACATTGTTTTCATGCTCATCAAACCATTCAGTGACCACTCGTGCCCTGTGGATGAGGGCATTGTCACCCCATAGCGATGGTAGCCAAAATAATGGCCTGCCCAGCTTTTTTAAACATGAGCCTATGCATGATGGGACGTTAATGCTTAATTAACTCAGGAACCACAACTATGTGGAAGCTCTCGCTTTCCATACATTTTCTATTCCTAATTTACTCAAGTGTTTCCATTATTTTGGCAGTTACATACACATCTCTATTGATTAAAAAAATATACCAGAAAATATCATTTTTACACCTCTTCTCTTCTTTGGCTCAGCATTCTCTGGTGGCAACCAAAACCCAACACTGTGTTTTATGTCAGATACTTGACTTAATGTATTCCTTTCAGCTCCTAGTAGAGTAAGGGCCTCAAATATCTGACAGCGAGCATGTGTAAAACATCCTTATAAATCATATTTTCAGAACACAAAAACATGTACTATAGTTTTAACATTAGCATTGAAAAGTATATTCTGTTATTGGAATGGTATAGTTTCTGATGTTTGTTTTGTATTATATGTACATTTCAACAAATAAAAGCAATTCTTCAAAAAATACTCTTTGACAGGAGAAAAGATACACATTCATTTCAATAAACAGCCCAGACTACTGCAAAGAAAAAACACTGTAATTGCACACTATACAGAGAATATGAAGCCAGTTCAATGTTGAACTTGGCTGTAGAGTCCTCCTTTGGTAGCACACCAGGTTTAAGGCAGAAGGTTGAAGAGGTTCGATCAGATCAACAGTATCAACAGGGCTTGAAAAACAAAGAAACACACAATAATTGTTTTAAGTTATTTTTCAACATGACTGTTCGACACTGCCACCTACTGGTTGACTCAAGTAATCATTAACCGGCTCAACAGCATTATTAAAGCAGCAGTATACAGCAGATATCCCTATTTGGTAAAAGACCAAGTCCATATTATGGCAAGAACAGCTCAAATAAGCAAAGAGAAACGACAGTCCATCATTACTTTAAGAAATGAAGGTCAGTCAATCCGGAAAATGTCAAGAACTTTGAATGTTTCTTTTAGTACAGTCGCAAAAACCATCAAGTGCTATGATGAAACTGGCTCTCATCAGGACCGCCACAGGAATGGAAGACCCAAAGTTACCTCTGCTGCAGAGGATAAGTTCACTAAAACTTTTGACCGGTAGCGTATGTTAAACTGCTTTCTCAGATTTGTTGACCTGTTAATATAAATTCTTCATTTATTTTTAGCAGTGTGCCAAGAAGGAAAAACAAATCATTATTTCACACTGTTATACTGTTCAACAAATAACATATTTGTGTGTTAGGTACAGAGGACATAAAAGTTGACAACAGTATACAGATCTTGTTTCATCATTTGAACTTGTGAATGCTTTTACTTCAGCCTAAAGGCATATGAGTTCCTGTAAATCACATGATCTGAATGCTTTGGTTTAGCCCACACTTCCCTATTGTCCCTCCCAGCTGACACACTGGTTGATAGTTGATCATTCATTGCTTAACATGCAATGCAATATGGGTGTGTTTGTTTGATCAAACCATGTAAGCAGAGGAGGAGTCCTGCATAAAAGACTGGAACTCCTATTCAAATCGTAGGTAAAGTAAGCCAGCAGCACAACCAGAAGACAGAAAAGCAAAGGTAAGCCTGTGTAAATAACACATACACCTTACTGGTATGTTTGTATTATTGCAAACCAATGTGTTTATACACTGAGTGTACAAAATATTAGGAACACTTGCTCTTTCCATGACATAGACTGACCAGGTGAATCTGGGTGAAAGCTATGATCCCTTATTGAAGTCACTTGTTAAATCCACTTCAGTCAGTGTAGATGAAGGGGAAAAGACAGCTTAAAGAAGGATTTTTAAGCCTTGAGAAAATTGAGACTTGGATTGTGTATGTGTGCCATTCAGGGGGTGAACGGGAAAGACAAAATATTTACAGTAAGTGCCTTTGAACAGCTTATGGTAGTAGACACCGGTTAGAGTGTGTCAAGAACTATAACGGTGCTGGGTTTTCCACGCTCAACAGGTTCCCGTGTGTATCAAGAATGGTCCACCACCCAAAAGACATCCAGCAAAATTGACACAACTTTGAACGTTTCTTCATGTGCAGTCGCAAAAACCATCAAGCGCTAGGATGAAACTGGCTCTCATGAGGACCGCCATAGGAATGGAAGACCCAAAGTTACCTCTGCTGCAGAGGATAAGTTCATTAGAGTTACCAGCCTCAGAAACTGCAGCCCAAATAAATGCTTCACAGAGTTCAAGTAACAGACACATCTTAACATCAACTGTTCAGAGGAGACTGTGTGAATCAGGCCTTCATGGTTGAATTGCTGCAAAGAAACCACTACGAAAGGACACCAATAAGAAGAAGAGACTTGCTTGGGCCAAGAAACAGGAGCAATGGACATTAGTCCGGTGGAAATTTGTCCTTTGGTCTGGAGTCCAAATTTGAGATTTGTGGTTCCGACCGCCGTGTCTTTGTGAGATGCGGAGTGGGTGAACGGATGATCTCCGCATGTGTATTTCCCACCGTAAAGCATGGAGAAGGAGGTGTTATGGTGTGGGGGTGCTTTGCTGGTGACACTGTCTGTGATTTATTTAGAATTCAAGCACACTTAACCAGCATGGCTACCACAGCATTCTGCAGTGATACGCCATCACATCTGGTTTGGGCTTAGTGGGACTATCATTTGTTTTTCAACAGGACAATGACCCAACACACCTCCAGGCTGTGTAAGGGCTATTTGACCAAAATGGAGAGTGATAGAGTGCTGCATCAGATGACCTGGCCTCCACAATCACCTGACCTCAACCCAATTGAGATGGTTTGGGATGAGTTGGACCGCAGAGTGAAGGAAATGAAGACAACAAGTGTTCAGCATATGTGGGAACTCCTTCAAGACTGTTGGAAAAGCATTCTAGGTGACTACCTCATAAAGCTGATTGAGAGAATGCAAAGCTGTCATGAAGGCAAAGTGTGGCTACCTTGAAGAATCTAAAATCTAAAATACATTTTGATTTGTTTAACACTTTTTTGGTTACTACATGATTCCATATGTGTTATTTCATAGTTTTGATGTCTTCACTATAATTCTACAATGTAGAAAATAGTAAAAATAAAGAAAAACCCTTGAATGAGTAGGTGTTCTAAAACTTTTGACCGGTAGTGTATGTTAAACTGCTTTCTCAGATTTGTTGACCTGTTAATATAAATTCTTCATTTATTTTTAGCAGTGTGCCAAAAAATAAAACACATCATTATTTCACACTGTTATACTGTTCAACTAATAACAGATTTGTGTGTTAGGTACAGAGGACATAAAAGTTGACAACAGTATACAGCTCTTGTTTCATCATTTGAACTTTATTTCAGCCTAAAGGCATATGAGTTCCTGTAAATCACATGATCTGAATGCTTTGGTTTAGCCCACATTTATCTATTGTCCCTCCCAGCTGACGCACAGGTTGATGGTTGAACCATCATTCCTCAACAAGTAATGTGTATATTGGTGTGGGGGTGGTTGTTTGATCAAACCAGGTTAGGTAAGCCAGCAGCACAACCAGCAGACATACAAGCAAAGGTAAGCCTGTGTAAATGATATATACATATACAACTTACTGGTATGTTTGTATTATTGCAAACCAATGTGTTTATACACTGAGTGTACAAAATATTAGGAACATCTGCTCTTTCCATGACATAGACTGACCAGGTGAATCTGGGTGAAAGCTATGATCCCTTATTGATGTCATTTGTTAAATCCACTTCAGTCAGTGTAGATGAAGGGGAAGAGACAGCTTAAAGAAGGATTTTTAAGCCTTGAGACAATTGAGACTTGGATTGTGTATGTGTGCCATTCAGGGGGTGAACGGGAAAGACAAAATATTTACAGTAAGTGCCTTTGAACAGCTTATGGTAGTAGGCACCGGTTTGAGTGTGTCAATAACTACAACGCTGCTGGGTTTTTCATGCTCAACAGATTCCCGTGTGTATGAAGAATGGTCCACCACCCAAAAGACATCCAGCCAATTTGACACAACTTTGGGAAGCATTGGAGACAACATAGGCCAGCATCCCTTTGAATCGTTTTCGACATGCCCGGGCAAATTCAGGCTGTTCTGAGGGCAAAATGGGGTGCAACTCAATATTGTGGTGTTCCTAATGTTTTGTACACTTAGTGTATATTAAAATGTATTTTATTTATTTTTAAATAATATTGCATCGCTAATTGACATGAGTGAAACACAGATTCCAGTGAAATCTAAAGATGGGGAAAACACAGAGTGTCCTTGAGAAGAAAGGATACACTACCCAGAAGGAGGTAGAGCATGGTGTCATAGCTACTGACAAAGATGGTGACCAGTTTGTCATTAAAGAGATCAAACTGAATGAGGTAAGTGAGAACTATTTGTTATTTCTGAATTGCTTACATCTTAGAGTTTTTTGGAATGATCACAGATGGATAGGATACATAATTGGTTTTCAATTATAGGCAACTCTGCAGGTGCAACAATAATGACTGATAATGACATGTATTCATGAAGATAAAATACATAATTAACATGCCTATATCTTTCAATAAGTCAAATATCATTTGTCTTGACAGACATCTGACTTGAACTCCAGTGCTAGAGAAATTGTCTCAGAGGTTGAAACCCTCAAAGTGATTAGTCATCCCCACATTGTAAGCTACAAAAACTCATTTCTAGGTAACTACATCATTAACTTTGTTGTTTTATTTGTATTTTTATGTATTTTCATTTGTTTCAGACACAGTGTATTGGGATTACAAGTTAATACAGTATCAGCAACTTCAACAAATGAGGTACTACAGTATCAATATGTTTCACAATTAGTATTCTCAAGTAGTATTCACACACAAACTACTTATACATTTTCACAGAGGATAACTGCTACTATATAGTGACAGACCATTGTGTGAAGGGAAATCTCTCACAGAAGATACAAGAGCAGACGACTAACCCAACAGAAGAGTACTCTGAGAAGGTAGGCAAAGTATTAACTAGAAGGTTCCACACCACAACTGTTTTAATGTTAGGCTAAGCATACATTCCTTTGAAACCTTTACAGATTATGGACTGGTTTGTCAAGATCTGCATGGCCCTGAAGCATTTACATGACCAGGGCATTCTTCACCGAAATCTGAGACCCCAGGTACTGCTAATAGAATCTCATGCAAAGGCTATTAGTTTAAAGATAGCCTGGAAATAAACTTAAAGAAAAAGGAGGGTTGATATAATGTAAGATTTTATGTAAAGCCTTGTTAAATAATTAACTGCATGCTATGATTCGAGTGGGATTGTTGACTTGGAATTCACAGCAATACAAATAGAGATTATTGCAGCAATTTATGATATAATTCATATCAGTGCCTAAATGAAATAATGGAATGCCATAAACTGTTGCTTTACACCTCAACTGTACAATTATATTTTCTTCTCTATACTAGAGCATACTCCTCACAGAATTTGAAACACTTCGTTTGGGAGCATTTGGAAGTGTCAATGAAAAGTATGTTAAAGTATGTTACTTGGTAATTATAAGAGGCTCATGATGAATTTACACAACATACAGTTGAAGTCGGAAGTTTCCATACACCTTAGCCAAATACATTTAATCTCAGTTTTTCACAATTCCTGACATTTAATCCTTGTAAAAATTCCCTGTCTTAGGTCAGTTAGGATCACCACTTCATTTTAAGAATGTGAAATGTCAGAATAATGGTAGAGAAAATGATTTATTTCAGCTTTTATTTATTTCATCACATTCCCAGTGGGTCAGAAGTTTACATACACTCAATTAGTATTGGGTAGCATTGTCTTTAAATTGTTTAACTTGGGTCAAACGTTTCGGGTAGCCTTCCACAAGCTTCCCACAATAAGTTGGGTGAATTTTGGCCCATTCCTCCTGACAGAGCTGGTGTAACTGAGTCAAGTTTGTAGGCCTCCTTGCTAACACACTCTTTTTCAGATCTGCCCACACATTTTCTATAGGATTGAGGTCAGGGCTTTGTGATGGCCACTCCAATACCTTGACTTTGTTGTTCTTAAGCCATTTTGCCACAACTTTGGAAGTATGCTTGGGGTCATTGTCCATTTGTTAGACCCATTTGCGACCAAGCTTTAACTTCCTGACTGATGTCTTGAGATGTTGCTTCAATACATCCACATACATTTCCTTCCTCATGATGCCATCTATTTTGTGAAGTGCACCAGTCCCTCCTGCAGCAAAGCACCCCCACAGCATGATGCTGCCACCCCCGTGCTTCACGGTTGGGATGGTGTTCTTCGGCATGCAAGCTCCCCCTTTTTCCTCCAAACATAACGATGGTCATTATGGCCAAACAGTTCTATTTTTGTTTCATCAGACCAGAGGACATTTCTCCGAAAAGTACGATCTTTGTCCCCATGTGCAGTTGCAAACCGTAGTCTGGCTTTTTTATGGCGGTTTTGAAGCAGTGGCTTCTTCCTTGCTGAGCGGCCTTTCAGGTTATGTTGATATAGGACTCGTTTTATTGTGGATATAGATACTTTTGTACCTGTTTCCTCCAGCATCTTCACAAGGTCCTTAGCTGTTTTTCTGGGATTGATTTGCACTTTTCGCACCAAAGTACGTTCATCTCCAGGAGACAGAACACGTCTACTTCCTGAGCGGTATGACGGCTGCGTGGTCCCATGGTGTATATACTTGCGTACTATTGTTTGTACAGATGAACGTGGTACCTTCAGGAGTTTGGAAATTGCTCCCAAGGATGAACCAGACTTGTGGAGGTCTACAATTATTTTTCTGAGGTCTTGGCTGATTTCTTTTGATTTTCCCATGATATCAAGCAAAGAGGCACTGAGTTTGAAGGAAGGTCTTGAAATACATCCACAGGTACACCTCCAATTGACTCAAATGATGTCAATTAGCTATCAAAAGCTTCTAAAGCCATGACATAATTTTCTGGAATTTTCCAAGCTGTTTAAAGGCACAGTCAACTTAGTGTATGTACACTTCTGACCCACTGGAATTGTGATACAGTGAATTATAAGTGAAAAAATCTGTCTGTAAACAATTGTTGGAAAAATTACTTGTGTCATGCACAAAGTAAATGTCCTAACCGACTTGCCAAAACTATAGTTTGTTAACAAGAAATGTGTGGAGTGGTTGAAAAACTTCCGACTTCAACTGTACATTAATAGTTTAGTATTTTTGATTACATAAATGAGTAGTTTAGTATTTTTTAAAAATAAATGATTTTGTGTTCATGTGCCTATTTCTTTTATCAGGGCTACCAACGAGGATGGAATGGTGGGTTATTTAGGCCCAGAGATTCTGACTGATGGAATGTATGACACCAAAAGGTAGAAAATATTGAAGATGCATATTTAAATATATATTCCTGAAAAAACTGTAAAGATATTGATGAAATAGTTTGTAATTTCCCAAAACGTTCAAGGTATAGTGAGATGAGAATGAAATCACAAAAGCTAACAAAACAGTTTAGGCTGGATAGTCCCTTATTTACTGTAACTTGAACCCTCTGTCACAAGGCCTATGATGTGGTATCATAAAATGACATAAAATATGTCTAAGTCATGTCACAAGCTATATGTTAGGTAAGCCAGGCCAGTAAGATGACCTAGACAATAATGAAAATGTAAAGTAAGTTGACAATTGCAGAGATCCACTGTCATGGCTGATACCACACACACACGCACGCACACACACACACACACACACACACGCACAGACACACACTGTTACCATAGGATATGTTTATGACATATTTATGAAGGCTTTATGACAGGGTTATAAGTGCGAAAATATAAGTGGGTGGGTTATGCAGTGTAAAATAATGATAATTACATGAGAATTAATGTGTTTATTTTCCATCCTTTGCAGTGATATTTGGTCCTTGGGATGTGTGCTGTATGAATTGTGTATGCTTCAGTGCGCAGTAAGTAATCCTGCATTCAAATGCTCGTCATAATTTCACATTTTCCAGTTGGTGAAGTTGTTTACGACATGAGTGCATTCAAATAGTTTCATAAAGTAGGAATAATTCTTCAACCAATGAGATAATAGTATCTACCCAGCTAGCTTAAGATAGCTAACATTGACAAAGTTAAACATGTATTTTATAAAAATTATTAAGATTGTAAGATTGCTCTGTTTTATCACTTTTCAGCTGAAAAGTTAAAAGATCAGATACCAAAACTTGTAAACTCGGGTTGCCAAATTGTGATTTGAAGGGTCGATCAACATCCAATAATTCCAACACCACTTAAAAGCATTCTATTTTGCCTGTCCACTAACTAGCTAAAGACGGATATTGTGTGATCATAGACAGTTGTTTCTTCGCAGTTCACTGCAGAGAGCACAATCAAGCTCATCCCCCAAATATTGGGAGGTCCTTACCCATCTCTCCCAGAGAGCTTCTCATCTGAGCTATGCGATCTCCTGTATGACATCTTCCAACAAGACCCAAGCATTAGGCCTTCAGCTGGTGAAATCTTGGCGAAACCATTCATTATCAGTTTCCTCACAAAAAAGGTTTGCTATGCAATATCAATCAATCAATTGTTCAATATGTCTGGGCATCCATCCAACCATCTACATTTCCATTCATTCAGTAATCTAAATGTATTTCTGCATTTCTATAGAGTGAGAAAACTGTGGAGGAACTCCAGACCACCTTGAACAAGTTGAGAACTCTGGCAGACGGCTTGGAGAGTATTCACACAGGCACCACCATAGGTAGTCTGACGGGAGGTGTTATTGGGGCAGCTGGAGGAATTACATCTATAGTGGGGCTCATCCTGGCTCCCTTCACTCTTGGCACCTCCCTGATCGTCACTGGGGTGGGTATTGGGGTGGCTGTCGCTGGTGGAGCCACAGCCGGAGTATCCAACATTACCAACATGGTCAATCAGTCCACCAACCACCTAGCCATGAAGAACAGCATCAAGGAGTTCCAGGAGAAGATGAACTCTGTGGTGACATCTTTACAAGACATCGCTGAGGGTTTGGAGACACTCACGCAAAGTAGCTCTTCTCAGATAGAAAGTGCCTGTTTTAGTGCAAAGACCGCTGCTAATGCTGGTGTGTGGGTTGGGAAAGGCCTTGCGGGCACCACAGAGCTCTTCAGACTACTCCAGGTGGCCAACATTGGCAAGGTGGTATCCCAAACTGCCAGGGCAGTGCGTGTGGCAGAGGTGGCGACAGGAATATTTTCAGCTTTTTTTGTAGCAGTTGATATCTTCTTTATCGCCATGGATGCCAAAGAGATCCACAACATCCGACAGGCAAAGGCGAATGAACAGTCTGGTGATACCAGTAAGTTAGAAATGATGGACACAGACTCCACCACTGAGTTGAACCCTGGATGTGAAAAACCTGAGGTCAAGTCAGAGACCATGAAGTTCATTCAGACGATCAGACAGACAACTGAACAGCTACAGGAGAGCCTGGACGAACTGAGTGACGTCATCTCATTCATTCCTAAGATATAGGACTGTTGCTTAGACAACTGAACTACTTAGTGATTGTAAGAGATGCATAAACAACAGATCCAATCATACTTTAATATGCAACTTCTCTGCAATAGACAGGTATGGACAGATTGCCTTTTTGATACCCAGAATCTCACTTTCATCCTTAAGACATTGCTTGTACAACTCAGTTATGATAACTAGGTGGTACAGATCAAAATCTATATCACAGACACCTCTACTTCTGAAATGTTTCATTTTATATCATAACTGACAGGATGATTTTATCTGTATTTTATTTTCATGAAACAAATTGTATTCAAATAGTAATCAACTGCAAAATTATCAGTTTCACTCTATTAATACATGAAGGTGCATGTTGATTGTGTAGAATTATATTAATAAAACATTGACTGGAATATTGTTGAAACATTATACATGAACGTTTCTTGATGGTAAAATGATTAAGATCAGTTAATAAAAATAAATAAATATATAATGCGCCAAATCCGTCTCTTGGCCTGATGGTAGCCTTTTTCATGTACAAATACACACTGGTAAACCCTGGTAAAGTACAAACATCGTTCATAATTAACAGCCTGTTAGTGTCCGGTACTTGTTTGTGTTGCACCTGTATCCTGGAAAATGGACCTGTCTGGGAATGGCCATCTGTTAACACACACAAGGATAGACTTAACCTCAGGTGATCCCAAAGAAACACATTAACCATTTACACATTCTCCATGTAGTCCTGTGTGGCTCAGTTGGTAAACATTCAGAGTCGTGAGTTCAATTCCCATTGGAGTCACAAAATATCTACACTCACTGTATTGTAAGACACTGCATAAAAGCGTCAACCTAAATGACAATATCCATGCTGCATAAGAATACTTTTTCCCTGCGTCCTAAAGACACGGTAACAATGCGTAATGTTTCAAAAGCTGTATAAAGGAAAGTGACAGCACCAGCAGCTACCCAGGTAGCCGAGAGGTTTCGTGTGAATTCTGACACTACTTACGTACAAGTTGTAGAATGGGGGACTGACTCCTGGTGCTGCTGTGTCTGTCTGGGACTTAGACGCTCAGTGATGATGCTGGACTGACCATAACAACTTGGTCTCCATCCAAGAAGTCAAGAGGTTGAACGCTTGCCAGGCTAGGTGGGCTCTGTTTTTTAACAGGTTCAACTTCACACTAGCCTATCCCCCAGGATCGAAGAACCAGAAAGCAGACGCCCTGTCCCGACAACACGATGTCTCTAACAAGAAGGACCCCGAGACCATCATCCCAAGCTCCCGCATTGTGGCCCCCGTGATATTGGGTATTGAGACCACGATCCGACAAGCCCAGTCCCGAGATCCTGAGCCAGGCGGGACCCCACTAACAGACTTTATGTTCCACGCTCAGCCCGCTCTCTAGTACTACAATGGGGGGACACACACTCTAAATTAACTGGGCATCCAGGGGTTAATCGGACACTGGAGTTCCTGAGGTGGAAATTCTGGTGGCCCAGCATAATTGAGGATGTGAGATCCTTCTTTACGGCCTGTTCCACCTGTGCACGAAGCAATTCCTCACGATAGCGACTGGCTGGGTTGCTCCAACCTCTGCCCGTCCTCAACCGGCCCTGGTCCCACCTTTCCCTAGACTTTATCACGGGGCTACCTCCATCCCAAGGGCTGACCACTATGCTGGTGGTTGTCGATCGGTTCTCCAAAGCAGCCTGTTTCATCGCCCTACACAAGTTGCCCTCGGACAAGGAGAAAGCCGATCTCATGATTAACCATGTCTTTCGACTACAAGGACTCCCCGAGGACACTGTCTCGGACCGTGGCCCCCAGGCGGTATTGGAAATCCTTCTGCTCCCTGTTGGGGGCGTCGGTGAGTCTCTCCTCTGGGTTCCACCCACAGTCAAATGGGCAGACTGAGCGGGTCAACCAGGACTTGGAAAAGTTCCTCCGCTGTTTTGTCTCCATGCAGGCCACCAACTGGAGCAAGTTCCTTGTCTGGGCCAAATATGCTCACAACACAAAGCCGAACTCGTCTACTAGACTGTCTCCATTTGAGTGTCAGTTCAGGTTGCCCCCCCCCCCATTCAAGATCCTGAGTCGCATCAACCAGGTCACCTATCGTCTCCAGCTCCCAAGGTCAATGAGAGTCTGTCCATCCTTACACATCTCCTGTCCATTCTCCCCCCCACACCTGCCCCTCCGCCCCTTTGACTTGTTGACGTCCGCCCGGCCTACACTGTCCAGCATCTGCTGGAGGCTCATCAGGTCCGGGGAGGGCTACGGGCCCGAAGAGCGGGCGTGGGTAACTGCTCGGGACATCCAGGACCCGAGACTTGTTTGGGACTTCAACCAACTACGTGGTGGTTGCCCTGGCTCCGCGCCTGGAGCCTCTCCTAGAAGTGGGGGGTACTGTCATGGTTCCACCTGTCACCAGAGGGCGGCAGAGACCTTCCTACAGACTATAATGACACTCAGGTGTTTTCTGTCACTAATTATGATTTCCTTTTAGAGAGGTGTGTTTTCTGTCACCCTTTGCAGAAGCTGGAGTTTGTTGACATGTGCGTTTGTGTCCTGAGTGAGTTATCGAAATCATAGTGTTTGTTGTTTTCTCAAGTTTGACTTTGTACCTACTGTTTAACTTTTTCCCAGTAGTGTTTATGTTTATCCTAACCACTGGTTCCTCGTCTGGTTCTCTTCTCTGCTCCTGGGTCCTACCTCGCCATGTCACACCCATGTCATCCCATACATATTTATTTGTGCCCTAGGATCTTTTGTTCTTTTTTCTCTTTGCTGATGTGGAGTTATGAAGGAAGACTTAACTTTGTCTGTGTTTGTTGGTGTAAGTGTGAGAGAGTGTGAGTGTGTTTAAATATGTGTCAAGAGTGTTGGCACACATTCTCATAAATGTCACAACAAGGTGGCAGAAATGTGTGTGTGTGTGTGTGTGCGTGCGCGCTTGTGCGCCTGTCCAATTATGAAGCCACTGGATGGTGAACTGTTCTTCCTGATTACCCTTTTAAATGAAATGTGCATTTATGGAAATATTTGTATAACACCATTTTTTAAACAAAAACGTTTATTTACAGTGCATGTTTTATCTTTCATGGGTATATTTACTTAATCAGTTGACACTCAAAAACGGACAACTTTTAACATACTGTAATATACTGTACACTCAAAAGCTGACACAACATTACTCATGGTTAGTTTGGATTGCATGCTGTTGTATGTGTCATGTCTTTTGTAGGGTATTTTGTCAGACAGTTGGTATAGGTGGTCATTTTTGGAAACAAAAAGCATAAACTTTCAAAAGCATAAACAACGGGCTTACGACAAAAACTATAAACACACATAGACTGTAGCACTTTCAACACAATATATGAATAGTGCTTTATAAATAATGTTATTATAGTATTATAGTATAGCTACAGGTAAGTGCCAAAATAAAGGAAACACCAACATAAAATGTCTTAATAGGCCGTTAGGCCACCACAAGCCAGAACAGCTTGTGTCTGGAACTCTATTGGAGGGATGCGACACCATTTCTTCCATGAGCAATTCCATAATTTGGTGTTTTGTTGATGTTGGTGGAAAACGCTGCTCCAGATTCTCCTATAAGTGTTCAATTCGATCGAGATCTGGTGACTGAAATGGCCATGGCATATGGTTTACATCGTTTTCATGCTCATCAAACCATTCAGTGACCACTCGTGCCCTGTGGATGGGGCATTGTCACCCCATGGAGGCATAGCCATGGTAGCCAAAATAATGGCCTGCCCAGTTTTTTTATACATGACCCTAAGCATAATGAGACGTTAATTGCAACCAAAACCCAACACTGTGTTTTATGTCAGATACTTGACTTAACGTATTCCTTTCAGCTCCTAGTAGAGCAAGGGCCTCAAATATCAGATAAAGAGCATCTGTAAAACATCCTTATAAATCATATTTATTTATTTTATATTATTATATTTTCAGAACACAAAAACATGTATTATAGTTTTAACATTAGCATTGAGAAGTATATACTGATATTGGAATGGTATATTATTGGTATAGTTTATGATGTTTGTTTTGAGTTGTATATACATTTCAACAAATGAAAACAATTCTTCAAAAATTACTCTTTGACAGGAGAAAAGATACACATACATTTAAATAAACAGCCCAGACTACTGTATAGAAAAAACACTGTGATTGCACACTATACAGAGAATATGAAGTCCGTTCAGTGTTGAACTTGGCTGTAGAGTCCTCCTTTGGTAGCACACCAGGTTTAAGGCAGAAGGTTGAAGAGGTTCGATCAGATCAACAGTATCAACAGGCCTGGAAAAACAAACAAACACACAATAAAAAAACTGAGTTATTTTTCAACATGACTGTTCAACTCTTCCACCTGCTGGTTGACTCAAGTAATCATCAACGGGCTCAACAGCATTATTATACTGAACAAAAATAGAAACGCAACATGCAACAATTTCAACAATTTTACTGAGTTACAGTTCATATTTGACTAGTTTCAGGAAACTAGACGTATGTTGCGGGTCACTACTTAACAGGAGAGCCATTTGATCATATTGTCAAACAGTAAGATTCAAACGTTTCTGCTCAAAATAAATCATATACATGTATGCTAACACATTAAAACTAACGTAGCATTGTTTTAACCATAATATCTATTAAAGGCAATTATCTTGCGATTGTATACACAATACCAGGGCATGTTGAGAATAGTGTCAACATCTTTAGCTCACATAACTTTTTTACCCATATCACAAGTAGTATAACAATCAAAATAATCAATATCTAATACATTAATTGCAGTGTCAACATCTTTAGTTATTAACATATTAATAACTTACTCAAATCAATTAGTCAGCTTACAACTCATAATCAAATGAATTATCTAAAACAAATTTAGAATGACAATTCTTAGTGATTCACATTGGTCCTATCAAAAACCCTCAACTTAGCATTGACGCTGGCAGAATGTACATTTATTTTAACA